CAAACAGTTTTTCTCCGTGTCAATAGGAAAGTTGATGGATTTTTATGAGAACCATCTGCATTCTTGTTTATAACTGCATCACTGGAAGTTTCCGTTTTTGTTTTGTCTAACTGTTGATCGATGGCGCCATTGCTGAGTAAGCGATGGTTATTATCTTTACAATAATTAAAAATTGGCGGCATAACACTTTCAGTTTATTGATATTGCTTTGCGTTTGCCGGTTTTTTCTTGCTTTTCGTGAAGTTCCTTTTGAGTGATATGGAAATGTGAAGCTTTCTGTACTTTCTTGTTTTTTATTAGAGGTCCGCCAAATATAAAATTATATAGGTAGTGATCCGTGAAGTTCTAGGAGTTGACGACCGCTGATATATACGACACGCCCGATTATCCTACAGAACCCCCTCTACATAGACAGGCAAATAAAAAGGTCATCGGAAAGATAAAAAAATGAATTGAACGGAAACATTACCACTGAATTCCTTTCATTGGGTTGAAAAGTGTGCTCTCTAAAAGCTCAATTTTTCGAGAAATTGAGGATTTAATTTACAAAAGGAGTTTTAAAACCTCTAATTCGGCGTGATATAAAATACGAGGATTATAGAAACAGCCTTTCAAAAAAAAATTGCCTAGTCACAACATGATCAATATTGGAAGTCGTAAGCATTCTCTGAGGACGATTTTCTTGAGAAAAGTGAATTTATTTTTATTTTGTTAAATGACAAACGACTTTTGTTAAATGACGGAGTGAATAGTCTCGCATATGGACATTATGGTATAGATCAAATTTTCTAATATTTTATTATACGTATATAGTTAATCTTCAGTTCTTTTTATGATATATCATTTATCAAATGTCTTTTATAGTACAGAATATTATTTGCATTTTAATAAATTCATTATTTGATTTCAAAGTTGTCTTTATTGTGTATATGAAACCTATTATATGTAACAGGGTTGTCGATATTCAATTATAGGATAAATACAAGTAAAAATATAATTATTTTCCAAAGAGGGAAATGCTTTATTATGTAGTAATATCTGTTTCACGAAAATAGCTTTCAAGCAGAGTATTAAACCTGAGAATCATATACTTTATGAAAGCATTGTATATAATACATAGACATTCTATAGCGTGACAAATGTTCGTATGAAAAACTATTATTTAAAAGACGTTCATTCCTCAAAAAGGTAAATGTTATTTGAAAAAATTAACAAAAGACTGCCATTAAAAAAGTCAAAATTTAGAATACGCAAAAAAAATTAGTGAAAAGATCTTGGGTACACCGTAATAAATTTGTATTCTCTATCTAAAACTGGAAATCGGTACGATTTACCTGACAACGGGAATTAAATTCAGAGAAAAGTCACAGGTTTCGAAACAATACCCTTTTTAATACTTTTTTTTGTGGGGGGGGGCAAGGCTCATAGTAGTGGATGTCCAGTTCATTATCATTTCATGTAACGTTTTTGTATTTGGTTGAAAGTTCTTTCAACATTCCGTCACGACATCAGTGTCCAACAGTCAAATGAGTTTCATGATTTACGTCAAATAACTCGAAGACCGTGACATGATACTGTATAGTACTGATATCTTCTTTAACAGGATAAATGAGATCAATTTTGTTTTCCATAAACGTCACATCATAGCTATTCGGCAATCAATAGTACCGTGGTTTCTTCTTAGTGGCCATTTTTGTTATTTTTACATCATTTATTAACTTCTGGTAGATAGTTTAGATTATTCAAAACGCGTCGGAAATGCATTTCATACATTGCTGGTTTGTCATTTGACATTCTATATAATGCCTTGGCAGTGTGTCAAATGTTTAATTGTTTCCAAACACTGTATAAGGTATTTCTCCCTTCCCCGTCTTAGCATGCTTTCATGGTGTAGCGGTCAGCACGCTCGACGCGTATTCGAGAGGTCCGTGGTTCGAGTCCCGGCGAGCTCATGCTTCCACTTCTGCTTCGAAATAAGCTAATGTCTCTACAACTGTCAGCTAGTTTTCGGCGTTCTATAAAATGCATAAATATTCTATAGAATGCCGAATTTCATACTTTGACATCTATATGAGTCATTTAAAACACCTACTTGATATCAAGACAACTTACTTGATATCAAGTAAGTATTTTAGTTGTTTTGAAGAACTCAATATAAACAAGTACGTTTATAAATTATCATATGTCTAATAAATACCTAAATCACCAAAAAAAAAAAAAAAAGTTAAGAAAACCAAGTACACGCTTGTTTCTTCTCTGACTAGTAATAATCACTCAAAACACGTACCTGCTATGTGTTTTTAAGAACTTTACATAAATAGGCAAGTTCACAAGTTATCATATGTCTAATAAATACCTAAATTAACAAATTAAAAAAAAATAATGTACGCCTTTATTTTTAACATAGCAACTTCCCTACCCACATCTGTTGTCCGATAAGCCTTCCCCCCCCTCCCGGCTCACCATTCCTTCTCGGGAGCTTCCTGTTAGCTCCCAACCCTAAGCTCCCGAGCCCAAACTATCATTCTTCCCCTGCTTTTAGTTGTACCAGTTGCTTGTGGGGCTAACCGCATAAAATAATAGTAGTAATTATAAAAAAAAAGAAAAAAAAAATGTAATGATTTCAATGAGTTCGGTTAGTTAAATTTCATGCCTTCACTTATTATTTAATAATGATAGAGATACTCGTAAAAAAAACTGCGTAGATTAAATTTGGAAGAAAAAATAAATTTCTTACTTTCTTCTGAATATCGACACACTAGCGCATGAAAGATAAAAATACTTATTTCTAGGAGCTTAAATATATTTATGTATATATATATATATTTCAGGAGTAGGAATTTTGATGGCATAGAAGTGTTGATCCATAATGACTAGGAAATTGGAGGCGAAGGAAGATTAAATCTTCAATTTTATTTTCAGTAACATATTGCGGCTACAGACAAGTCGGCACATTAAATGTGCCTATTCGAAAAAGTTTACATTTTTGATAACTTTGTAGCAAGAAAGCAGCAGCAGGCAGACAGCAGTCCAGCTAAGCCAAAGCTTAGAATGAAAGTGCTAAATGTTCAGGATGAAATCTTAAGTCAAACTGAGTTAGTTTTGGTTCTCAAAGCATTTTGATTGGATAGTTAATATTGCTGTAAAATAATTATTGGCTGCTGTTTTAGTTAAATTTACATCACCAGAATTACGTAAGAGTCATATGACATAAATTTTTCTCGAAATGACGCAGTGCAAATAGATGTTGCTATTTTTAGAATAGAGAAGGGAAATTAATTTACGCTGCTAATTTAATCTTTTACATATTCTTTATTTTTCTTACATATCCCCCTTCAAGAAGAAAAAGGTGTAGCGACAGAGAAGCCCTTTTTAAAGAAAAAGCGTTAAAGCACTGGCAAATGGGGAAAAAAAAAAAAAAAAAGTCATAAAGCTTTGATCCTGTATAATTTAAAAAGTAAGTATAATTTAAAAATATCAATTTTTTAAAATAAATTTTTAATTTTTAGAGACCTATTGAATTTTTCAGCATTTTAGTCCAAAAGTTCTTTGTGTTTGAGAGTTCACATAATCATAATTCTTCCGGTAAGGTTCTTGTTATCACAGAATATCACAAAATAAAACTTTTACATAATCATTACTTATAATTAAATGTAACGCACATAAATATATATGATACTATAATTTCATACTGATAAATTATATTTTAACTCCATAAATATAATAGGAGTAACAGTTTCAGAAATTATGGTTTCACCGTTATTAACTTTCATTTACAATTCCTGATTTTACTAAACTGGAAGGCCTCGCAATACTTCTAAGCAAACATATCCATCAACAGGGCTGTCCTCTTAAACTAATCAGTGTGTTTTCTGCACTGGTGGTCCAGGGTGCCTAGGCAGTTACTTGAAAAGGCCTCCGTTCCTTGCATAAGGCAACTGACCTTTGAGAACTGCACTAATACATTCCACAATAAAAAAAAGTATAATAATATAAAAAAGTAATAAACCAATAATTCATAATAATTTATAATAAGAAAACTTTCCATATATACATATAGATATATATTTAAATCGCAGAGTTTATTAATCAAAGTTGAAAGACAAATATGTTAGTTGAAGTCAAAAGTTAAATTAAAAGTTGAAATTAAAGTTATAATCGAATTTGAAAGACAATACTGATTGGAAATACACTTTTTTTTTAAACCGCTGAGTTTTTAATAAAATGGAAAATAATTAAATCACACAAAATAGGAAATTATTAGGAACTTTGAATTCACACAAAATAGGAAAAAAAAGAAAAAAAAAAATCGAAATTTAAAATGTGAGTTTCGAGGTAGGCAAGTTTCGGTGAAAGAGTAGGTGTATTCAAAATCTGGTGCCACCGTTTTTTTGCAATATGAGGAATATACACACATGCATACATACATGCACATTCTTTTCTATTTAATAGTTGGTGTTACAGGACGTAGCTTTTAACAAATCTTTCGTTTTATTTCTTGTCTATGCTTTTAGTGTTTAAGAATACTAGCTAAGTGAATTCGTGGGAAGCACGTGGCTCTTAAAATATGCATAGTTTAATACGCTGTAGAGACATTAGGAATTTTTGGAAACAGAAGAGATGGAAAAAAAAAAAAAAAAAAAAAAACATTGCCCTCGCCGGGACTCGAATCACTAACCTCTCGAATAAGCGTCGAGTGTGCTGACCACTACACCACAGAGGCATGCTGAAAATGCGGGAGAAATACCTTATAACGTAATTATGTTTAACTTACAACTGCAGGAAATCACTGGCTTGCAATGAGACCTAGTTCTATTTGAAATGCTATAAGTGTGCTCATGGAATTACTCTTGTATCATTCGTTGAAATGCATAAATTTTAAAATCATATTCTATTGAATTTAATGCTAAGACAGTTCATTTCAGAACTATAAAGAAGGGCTTGGCATAAGAGAATAAACAGATCGTAAATATTCAGTATTTTTATTAAAAAAACAGCAACAAGTAAATGATTACACCATGGCTTGGAAACATAATTTGATATTCGATATTAAAGTATTCTACAAGGAAAGCCTAGTATCTTTTACATAAACGTTATTTGAAAGGAAGAACAATACAATAACATACTTCAGAAAGAAAAAAATGCTATATTATTTACAAAGAATTATTTTTTAAAGAGTAAACATTTTTACAAGTTCTTTAGAAATTGGATTTATTCGGAGATTTTATACATGTTGCTCATTTAAAGTAAAGAAAGGAAAGTGATCTGATATTACATAACATTTACAGTAATTAAAAATGCAGAAATGGTTACAAAGAAAATATCTGTGTATTTCATTTTCCAGAACTTTTATTAGAATTCATTATGCATTATGAAATAAACATGGAAAGAGAGAATTTCTTACTGTTAAAATTATATTTTCGTTTCATATTTTAAAACGTTTTCCAGCAGTTGTAATAGTATCTTAAACTGTTTTTATATTTTAAGGCCTGTTCAAAATTCTTATTATTTAGTAAGAAGTCACCGGCAGCCAATTACTAATTTTAAGAGGGAATTTCAAAGGTCCAAAGAGTATTCCATTCTTTAAAAAAATTAATTATTTAATTTTTATGCTCCCTTGTTGTTAGATGGACATCTAACAACATAAACAGCATAAAACAATATTGGATGCGGAAATCATAATGCATTTTCTCTTCGAAATAATCAATACATTCGACTCTCTTCACAGGAAACTCCTGTGTAAGAAATTTCCATTTGTAAGAAATAAAATTAAAAGTTGGTTAGAAACATGTTATAGGTCGATTTTGCAATTATGAGAAAGGAAACTGAGATTTTGGATTTAAGAAATTTCAAATGTGTCTGCCGAAATTTATTTATGCGTATTCCTTATCATTTTGAACCTGATATATATCAAAGTCTGTGCTAAAGAGGCGAATGAAATTATTTTTCTGTTACAAGAACTGTACAGATCTCGATAAGATAAGGCGAAAGAATGAGAGGGACTTTAAGCTACTGACGCTCTCTATTGATGAAAAATGAAAACAACTATGAAATAATTTCTTTATTAATTAAGCAACTATGAAATAACAAGTCGACGGTTAAGGCGGATTGGAGTTGGGATTCTTAAATAGAACTGAATGATTTTTTTATGAATGTAAAACACCTCTAGAAAACTTAATTCGCCAACGGAGGACGTTTTTAGAATGATTTTGGCTGCAGAAATAAGGAAACGTGATTTTCTGACCAACAGTATTGGTCAACAGGGGATTTATGTGTTTCGTTTTTCCTAACATGTACCTCATGTTTCTTAGCGCGAAATTTTAAGGCTCTCTTAGTTTGAATATAAAATAAGCAACACTGACAAGGAATCCTGAATCATATCCGGAAAAGCGTCTGTAAGTATGGAACTGCAAATTTCATTGACAGAAGACAAAAATCCAAAACACCACGTGAAAAAATACAGAATACTATGGGAGAAATACAGAAATTGAACTTTCGGGTCGTTTTCTCCTCCGTGAATAAAATTGGAGAGAAAAATCGCATTTCCCATTTGTCTGCAGCGAAGATTGTGAAAAAAAATCATCTTCCGTTTGATAATTAGATTTTCTAGAGACATTTCACATTCATAAAAATCTTTGAGTTCTAGTTAACTATGCCAGTTTTAATCCGTCTTTACCCTCAGCTTTTAGTTACATTATTTCATAGTTGTTTTCCTTTTTCATTAATAGAGGGCGCCAATAACTTGACCTCTTTCGCCTTGTCTTATCTTATTACTGACTTCTCTTTTGTTAGTTGCACTTCGGGAGTTGAAGAAGCATGTTCGCAAACATCGCGTGAACGAATTTTGCAACTCATTTGCAAAACTCGTTCCCATTGGCGCATTTTAGAAGCCACTTCCATGGTTAACATACCAATGTGCACTTTAGAAATTCGCATTCGCGACATCTGATCATTTTAGTCTAGAAATACGTTTTAATTAGAATTCTAGTATTTCTGTTGAAGCCTTAGCTTTTCAGCAATACTTAATTGAGAGGATAAAGTATAAATTCAAAAATGCAGGAAATAAACAGAACTTGAGATACAATAATTTAAGCTAATCACGATGCAAGAAGGAAGATTGTAATGCATGTATTTGAACAGGTAGTTTGTTAATTACAAAATCAAAAGATTCAGTGGGCTTTCTGTAGCTATTGTAAACAAATTATTCCTTTCCAAATTAGATATTGTTGTTTATACAATGTTAAAGAGCAGAAACGAAAATGTTTTTTCTTTTTCCTTTGTGAATTCAGTTACGTGAATACCTGTCATGGAAAGACTTGCTTGCTCTTTTCGATCCGATCCTATTGAAAATGGATTAGAGCAACTAACGTTTTTTATAACTAGTTCTTTATCTCTAGAAATTACAGCTACTTCCTATCTTTAGAAAATTGTCTCGCCGGAGAAAAGACAAATCGATTTCGGTAATGACTGATCCGATCATTCTTGACGAAGCGAATTCTGTTGTGCTCTCGAATGGTTCCCAAATCAAAGAAGTCGAGTTCTACAAATAGTCCAGTTGTGGTTTTGTGAGGTGGTGGTGGTGGTCATTTCCAGGGGGCGGCGGCAGGGCAGGGAAGGCCACCAGATGGGCAGAAGGATCATTCGGGAAGAGGCGGCTTGTATCCACACTCGGTGCAGTGCCGCGAAGCCAGCATCTTGCAGCTGAAGTGGTGTAGGGCGTCGTGGGCTTCTGGAACGAACCAAAAAATAAATTGTGGAACAGGCAGTTTTAAAACATCTGCAAACAAAATTGTTTTTCGGTAAACTACAGGAACTTGTTTCAAATGAGGACAAAAAGTGCTTTTTTGTTCTGCGAGAAGCAATTGCGTGGGTTAAAGATATACGAAAAGAATTCGAAGAAAAGATTTCGCTATTCTCGGAATAAAAAAGAAAAGACTTTGCGATGCAAAGCGTGAACAAAGAAATGTGGCCTTTTTGGAGGGAGTTTTTTCCCTCTCAGTTGCTTTCAATATTAAGTGAAACATTGAAGATTCAAATAATAATAACAATAAATATTTGAATAAAATACAATTGAAAAGAAAGTTTGTATACAAGAAGCTTTTCTTTAAACTGGATAGGATAACACAAACAAGAAAAGGAAAAATAATTTAATATATAGTTTACTGGGAATAACAAATTAAATAATTCTCTTTACAGCATCAGAATTCATTTACAGTTTTATATCGCAAATAATAGAAGCCTGAGGCGCCTAAATTGATCTAATTTTTTCTCAAATTAATAGCATTAAATTAACATATATAAAAATTTAAATGAATTTAACTTTTTCAACTGATTTTTACATTAATTAAAAGAGATAATGACGTATGCATGAAATCTTTTAAAATTTTCTATCAATTTAATATCATTGTCAAATATGTAAGCCATTACCCTTTTTAATTTATCTTGGGAGCCACACACTTTTATTATTACTATTATTATTAAAATTTAGACACGAATTCCGTAAAGAGAATTACTTAATATACTTTTCCCATTAAACTATATGACAAAGTTTTTTCTCCTTTTAGTTCATTAATTATCAAATCCATTTTATATAAAAGCTTACTGGTCAAATATTCTTTTAAATTGTATTTTACTTTCTTTTTGGATAAAATTCTTAGCCATAGCAAAAACAAGAACAATAACTTAAGAACATTTTGAAATAAAGAAAAATAACTGAATGTCATTCAGAGACAGAAGAAACAATTTTGGATATTTAATTTCCGAAATTGGATGTAATAACAGTGTTAACAACGAGCATGTTTTACATGAAGCTATTATGAAAAAACGAATATCGCCAATTCGTCATAAAGTGCGCCAAGATGGCAAACTTCATCAAGGGAGCAATTATAAAAGCAATTTTTTAGAACGCCTTTTCATACAGGTGACGGAGGACGGGGACGCCTGACGTATAACATAGGTAAACAGGCATATGTTCCACGTCCTCCACTATCTCGAAGAAGCAACTCGCTGGAGCCCCGTGAGGCTGCACCAGGAGTTTACATGGCCATACAGGGGCTAGATGTCGGGTAGTGTTTACATAGAACGTTGTTAATAACACAAAGTAACTTAGAAAGAATATAAAGGATAGCATTAAAACACTAAAACACTCATATAAGCTGAAACACATAGATATACAAAATTAAACGTAAAAGCATAAAAACACACTCGTAATTACGTAACATAAAGCCATAGAAACACACACGAAAATACATATCATGACACATAGAATACATATGGAAACACGTAGAGCACATAAATGCAAATATTACACTCAGAGGAAACATATAAGACATAGTAAGGTGTGCGTAAAGCAGTAGTGCTGTGCGGAGATATGCTCAGTTCCCATAATACATAATGTACATACTTTCATTAGGGCTTCTGTTGCATGAATTACATATTTCGTTGCATACACTACATTCGTGCATTGTACGGATATTATATATTTCGATTTACGATAACACATCATTCCATTGGGTGCCCAGTGCTTCACACTGATAAACATGTCAGTAACATTATATCTGCAAGTTGGTGGCTATTGAAAGCAGATGTTAACACGAGGCTCGAAATTGAATGTGGAATGTGTATTACAGAATGTGTACATACTGCGAATATCTAATAGTTGAGTACATTGTCTGCAGTACCATGCTACTGTGGCTCGAAAATGTCTTGCCCTAGGGCGTTGATTTGCTGTACAACTGCGCAGATGCTCCTTATAGCTGGCGGGTGTTTTGATTATGAAACGATAGTAAAGTGTTCTATATCATTCGTTGGATGTGGTAAGTGGTGGTTTGTTGTTAGACTGCAGTCAAATAGATAGTGCTCGGGAGAACCTAGCATGCCACAGACACAATTGTCAGATGCTGAGATGCCATGACGCATAAAATAAGATGGAAATGGGACATGACCCGTTATGTACTGTGTCAGTGGGGCTATTGTTATAAGACGTTCCGTGTCTACCTTTGGTAGGAAGTTATACGTCCTTCTCCCTGTGTCGCCACTATTCCATTCTTCTTGCCACTTTTCTTTACAGATGTTACGCAGAGTTTTCTTGAGGTGTGAGACGGGGGTAGGGGCACTTATAGTTTGAGCGTGGATGTTGTTGGCAGCCTCATTAGCCAGTCGGTCTGCGACGTCATTCCCTTCGTTGTCGGAGTGTCCTTTTACCCATACCATGTTAAAGCGGGCTTGATGATTATTGCGTAAAAGTTGCTGTATATCTATGATGATGGGTGAAGTGTGGTGATGATCCCTGAGTGCGTGTAGCACTGACATGCTATCTGTGTAAAAAGTCGCATTGGTAAGGGAAAGGTTGAGGGCATGTCGTAGCGCATTCATATTTGCTAGTGCCTCTGCTTGGAAAATACTATTGCTGTTAGTGAGATGTCCTTTCCTTTCCATTCTTTACTAGTGTGCCATGTTCGTAGTGAGCAAACGCGCAGCCCACTCCCTGATCATGTTTTGATCCATCAGTGAACAGTTGTGTAATCGCACAGGAAGTGCGTTGTCTGGAGTGCGATGGCTGATGTTGGATTTTGACATGGATCCCTCTACCTTTGATGGCACGGTGGATGTGTTGCACACTGCCAGGGAGTTCATAGTCTGTTGTTCTGAACGTAATTCCTGCATATGTGGCTTCTTGTCTGTGATGAGTGATTCGTACATAGGTAGCCTCTGCCTCTGCCTTTATGTGTAATGGCATCAGGCCTGCAAGTATCGTGGCGGCGCTGGACGCTGTTGTGCGATAACCTCCGCAGATGTTTAATGCAAACGGCCGTTGAATTGTGGTCAGTAGCTTGGTCTTTTCGGCTGTTCATTGGTTGTGCCCATATGACTGCTGCGTAGAGAATTATTCTCTCTGCCACTGTCAGATATAATAGTTTCCTGATATGGGGGTTTTGTCCCCAATTTCTCCCTTGAAATTGCCTGGCTTTCCTTGCGATGGTCGATGTTTTTGTACGTATTTCTTGGAGGTGCGGTAACCAGGTGAGTCTTTGATCCCAAGTGACTCCTAGATATTTAATCGTCTTCGTTATTTTTAAGTTCTTGCCCAGTAGCTTTATACATGGACGTCTTGTGGGATTTGTGCCAGGACGTGGAATTACGATGGCTGCGGACTTTTGCCGAGAGATGGTTAACTTAAGTTTATTGCATAGGTCCGTGAATATCGAGCAGGTTTTGTGGGCATTCCGTTCCAGTTCATCTCTTGTGCGGCCAGACACCAGAAGGGCTACATCGTCGGCGTATGCTATAATATCTGTGTGCAAAGGCCATTCATGTTGTAGTATGGAGTTAAAGGTGATTATCCAGAGCAACGGACCGGCGCAAGAGCCTTGTGGACACCCTCTTTCTTTCCTGCCGCTTGATAGTGAGGCCATTGTTGTTGGCTACTATGAGGCTACGTGCATGTAGATAGTCCGTGATGATGTTAAAGATGTTTTTGGGACATTGTGCCTCTCTAAGTGCTTGCTTTATAGCAGGCCACCAGAGGGTGTCAAAGGCGCTTTGCAGGTCCAGGGATATGAATGCCGTGTGAAGATTTCTGCCTCTATTTTGTTCTATGCTATCTTTAAGATGACTCAGGCATGCGTGGTTGACAAGCCAGTTCGGAACCCGTATTGCCGTGGGCTGAGGAAGTTGGTCTGCTCGAGATGGAATTTAAGTCTGTTTTACCAGTAATTTTTCATAAATTTTTTCCCAGAGACGAAAGTAGGCAAATTGGCCGAAACGAGCTTGGGTCATCTGGGGATCTCTGCTTCTTCAGGAACAGGACCACTTCTCCTTTTTTGAAAGCAGTTGGGAAGATCTGGTATTTTAAGAGCTTGCTGAAATATTTCTCGAAAGAAGGTAGGGCGGGATGTGTAAGCCACCTTTATTATAGCATAGTCTAGACCGTCTGGTCCCGGAGCCTTTTTTATGGGAAGAAAACGGAAGATTTGCTGTTTATTTCAGCTGAGTCGAAGGGAATGTCGTCTGGTGTGTGTTAGGAATGGAATGGTTGTCCCGTATCTTCTGTTGTTCTGCTGAATCATCATCCGGGTTATCTGCTGGGAAAACTGCATTAAGGATAGCAGATGCTGTGGTTTCTGCAAGATTGGTGGTGTCTGAGTTATTGGCTGCTTGGGCATAAAGCTGGTCAGGCTTGTAAACTTTATTTGTAGCTAGTTTATGCAGGATTCCATAGACGTTGGTATTAGCTGTGCAAAATTTCCGCCAGCTATTGACTTTGGCTCGTAGTATGCATTTTTTATAATGCGCCCTTTCCCTGCGGAATGTGGTCAGCAATGCCATTTTGGTGGCTTCGTCCATTACACCTCGGAGATGCCGTCTTAGGGCTCTGCACTTTTGCCGTAATTGGCGTAGTTCTTTAGTCCACCAGCATATGCCTTGTATGCGTTTAGCAGTGCGAGTCTTCAGGAGCTTGTCGCAAATACATCGCAATGTATTGAGGAGATGATCTGTATAAGTGTCTAATCCCTCTGGGATATTTATTTGGTCTATTACTTCTTCTTCACTCTGTAGGGTATCCGAGAAAGCCTTTGTTAATGCACGCAGTTTATTGCCTGGGATCTTGTAGCGCTTAAGGATAGTGATGCTTGTGTCGGTATTAATTGCAAAGTGGATATATTTATGATCAGAGCAACTCTCGTTGTCTATGACCCTCCAATCTGTTATATGTTTGGCTATGTTACT